TTCAGCATCACAAAGGCCTGTCCTGCTGCTATGTCTCCTCTGGCTGGCGCTGGAGCCACAGGAGTACACACATATTCGCTTTGGCGACCACCCCCACCTTGAGCATCTTGCCTGGGAGCCCAGCCCTAGGAGCTCCCAGCTTCCAGGAGATTGTGCCCATCCTGCCGCAGATGTACTCGGCGCTGGAGGAGACTTAGGGGGGTCCTGGGGGGCAGGGACCTATGAGATTTTCCGGCATGCACAGTGGGTTACCCCGCATAACTGATTCTCTCATGTTCCACGGAGATTGTCATAGCCCCAGCAGTAAACCCCACCCAGCGCTACCTGCCAACCCATGTTACCTGGGGCCCTCTTGGCCCTTTCCATCTGGGAATGTGTGGTGTTCTGCTCTGATACACTGTCCCCACTTATTTAAAAATAATGACTTGCTCCACTCTATTTTTCTTTGGTTACTCTTTCTGGAAGTCCTGTTGCCCTCTCCTGCATGATTATTTTGATAGTGTCTTCCATATATCCACATAACACACTGTGACTGCAGGTTCAGGCGTTGTCTGTCGGCCTCTTATCCAAAGTGAGAGGAGCTTTGTTCCCTTTCTCCCTCCTGCCCCACCCCGCCCCTCCTATTTTCTTATTGCTTGTTACGTTTTCATTTTTGATCGGTTCCATACTTGATGCTACATTTCCACGACTGGCGAGTGGCATCTTCGTTTCCATAAAGTGTGGTTGCTTTGGCGTTACTGTGTGAGGTCCTTTGTTTACCACCAGTAGCTCTATTGAATGCACTCTCTTTTCTCTGGCTACTTTCTAGGCATCTCCCCGCCTTGCTCCAAGTTGCCTGGCTGTCTGAATCCCGCCCAGCCCTTCCTAAGCAGCCTAGCGGTCTTGTGGTCCCACCTTCCTTCTATTTTTTATGACTTTCTGGGAGAGTCCCTCAACTTCTTATTGAGTTTTAAATTTCTGGTTGTCTTTCAATTTCTACAATCTCTTAACCTCTTAAATTGCCCTTTTATAAGCCAGTTTGGGGGGTTCTTCCCTGTGTCCATCTTTGTGTCTGAGGTATGGGGTGGGGGTGTTTGTTTTGATTTGGTTTTAGTTTTCTTCTTGCTCTTTCTGTTGCCCTGAGACCTGTCTAGCCTGGCCTTTCCTGCTTGTTGTTCTCCTGACTGGGTGGGAAGGGGGGGGGGGTTAACCCTCGGTTTTCTGCTTAGGTTTAAACATGGGTCCCGGTGTGAGCCTGGTGGGAGCATGGCTGGCACTGACTGTGTGGCTTTGGGCCAGCCTGGGGCCCTTTAGTGGGAGACTCTGGTGCACAGGAGTCTCCTGGTGGGAAGGAATGGGCTCACCCCACTTTCTGGGAACTCATATACTAGCATAGCTCCCCAGTTTCAGCATCCTGACTCCCCTGGGCTAGTGACCTTTGGCTCAGCACCCTTTTGCCTCAGGCTGATTGAGATGCTTGCTTTGTGATAAGGACTAAGGAGACCTGGCCCAGCGGGGACTCCTGCAAGCAAATGCAGCTGGGCGCATGCTCAGCCTCTAAGCTGGACTTCCGCTAGGCCTAACGCTCCTCCCAGCTTCCAGCTTCCAGTTCCTTCCTGACCTTTCAGCCTCTTGAATGCCCTCCAGTTTTGAAAGGGACATGAGAAGAAGCAAAAATGAGTGCAGACCACCATCTCTCTGCAGGGATTGTTCCAGGTCACTGGCAGAACTCTCACTGCAGCTGCCTTTCCTTCTGTGTCCACACCCGAATAAACGGCCTTTCTTGAACATGAATCCAGATGCTATGGGGAGCCCGCAGTCTCTCCAGGGACTGCATTGTGCCCTCTCATGCCAGTGGGCTGCTCCTCAGCTGGATTCAGCTGGTGGATTTTGCTCTTGGAGTTCCTTAGAGGTCCCTACTTAGGTACATTGTAGTAGAACCTCATAGGGCCTTATTGTGCATGATTCTGTTATTTGTTATTATCTTCTGTGGCTACTTAGTGCTTCCAAGGAGCCAACAGTTTATTTTTTAAAAATGAGTTGTGCTGCATCCCTGCTGAGTGAGCTGCTGATCTGCATTAGTGGATAGTAATGCCTGTTATTCAGCAGGTCCTCTACTCTCTGTCAAGCTACCGTGACCTCACTGACATTTCAGATCCGCTTTGAGTCATAGCGTTACTTACTAGGACACGTTAGCTGTTACCTTTTACTTGTTAATACAAGTGTTTCACATATTGTTGTAACTGAATGTTTTTTGGCCCTTGGCCGAAACTTGCAGACCTAGTGGAAATTAGAAAGTGATTTTACCAACTCAATCCTGCTTTGAGCCATTTCCTGGTTCCATTTGATTACTCAGTGCAGCTGTATTAATTGTAGATGACAATGGCACGACCTTAGATACTGTTTTAACTCGAGACAAACATTTACAAGCTTGAAGCCCAACAGATAGCATTCAGATAGCACAAAAGGTTTGGTGGGAGCACAGACATGTAAGTGTCAAAATAACTTTCAGGTTGTATGTAACAGGCCTCTAAGAGGGAAATGCCTTTCCTTTAGCCTTTTCCTGTTTCAACTAGTGTTACAAATCCCAAATGCTGTCTGTGACAGGAGAAACAATCAGAGAGAATCAGTAATAGACACAGAAAATCAAGTGGGCCAGCCCTACAGCCTGTTGATATCAGTAGGAATTAAGTGCTTTTCTGTAGCTGAGGGTAAGTAAACACCGTTCACCCAGCTAAAGTAAGGGAAACAATTCTGATCTGCAGGCCAGAGCCATTGAGGGTGGGAACGTGGACAGTTTTAAGTTTTAAAGGGTAGTTTTGGCAGAAAGAAAAAATGCAATGAGAAAACAGGAGGAGGAAGAGAAGGAGAAAGCCAAAGAAGGAGGAAAAAGGAAGAATATATAACAAAGAATGACCTATGACCCATAACACTGAAATCATTTACTCTCTAGTTGTCCTTTACAAATACATTTGCAGACTCGTAGTCTCGGGACGTCACCGGCTTGGGCTCATTCCTTTCCTGACCCACGTGCTCATCGCATCAGGGAAACCTCTCCAAGTGTTTTCTGTGGCTTTCCGTGTGTGTTTATCTGATTTCCCAAAACAAAAGAATTAAAAGTAAGTTTGAGTCACTGCTTATTGAGCTTGTGAATCTGAGGTTTACCAAATGAAAGACGTACTGGAATATATGCCCCATGGTGGAGTGTGTGCACACACATGCCCAAGTCGGCGACTACACGTGGAAAATGGCAGCCCCGTGCAGAGTTTCTGTTAATCCTGTGGCTTGGGGAGAGATACTGCAATTAACATATCCACAGACTCTGTGTGTCTTTGTGAAGTACAAAGTGTGGATAAAAGTCAAAACCTTCCAGTGAAATATCGATACTTTACTGAAAGCCGACCCAGATAAAAGGTTCCACCTAAACAATCAGCTTCAGAGTTAGCCATGTGTTGTAGGTTATGTTGTTGTAAGACATTTTCAATCTCCATACTGCAGAATGTCCACATACCACTTCCAGGTGAATTTTCCAAAAATTGAGCTCTGATCCCGTCCTCATCCCTGGCTTTGAAATTCTGAGCTTTACGTGACTTGTCAAAGTGATCTGATTCTCAGTGTTACGAAAGAAGAAGTTAAACCAAAGAAGTGAATTGCCAACCCCCCTTCAGGTAACGAACTAATGTAGAAGTCCAGTTTCTGTTGCTGCAGACATTATGCCGTGTTCCTCTCGGTGTTGGGGGCGGTTTCACAGCCCCCAGAGTCCACAGGCCAGTTCAGCAAACTGATAAACTGATTATTCTTCTGGCAGCACAGTGCTTCCTTCCCCTAATGCTGTCAAGAGGAGACTCGACCGAATATTCAGATGAACAAACAGAAATAAATGTTTGCAACCCGTTTTAAAATATGACCTCTCCGAAGTGCCCCTTTGGGGGCACATGTGACTCACAGTCAAGTGATGCACTGGGCGTCATTCCGTCCTCCCCTTTGATCCCCACCAGCTCTGAGCCAGGGCTCACACAGAATTTTCCTGTGTTCATAGGATTTCTTTCCAGCTGACAAAGCAGATCCATTCTAAGGATAAACACCAAACTCAAACAAAACTCAGGGTTTCTCGTTTGTTTTCTTGCTAAAAAAAAAAAAAAAAAAAAAAAAATCATAACCATGAATAACTCAAAAGATAATGTATATTCTGTTGTTGGGATATTAGGCTGCAGAAATCCAGAGGCAAACATTTAAGTCACTGGCTTAATTTATTAAAAAAAAAAAATGAGAACAGAATGGAGATGAGCAGAATTTTCTGAGAAGCTCTCTCAGAGCTCTGGATCCAGCCCTGGCGGTGCCCCTTGAAGGAGCCTGCGGATGTGACCATCCATGTTGAGGGAAGAAGATTGGAGGCTGAGGCCTGGCGACACCCCATGGTGACAGGTGTTGATGCCCCTCCCTCAGCGGGAAACTGAGCAGCTCCTTGAGCATTTTTTGGAGGTTTCATCACCTGAGATTCTCAAATGAGGCCCAGGGCTGCCTGGGGAGAGTAGGGGCACCTACAGGTAGGGGAGGGTGAAGAGAGTGGTCCGCTAGCGTACAGGACAGCTCCCCAAGAGGGACAGATGGAATTGAACTAAATATTAAATATCCTATAAGGACGAAAGAAGGGAGAGTAAAAGATATTAATTAATTCATAATGGTTGACCTTATAATGGTCCAAAAACACAAATCTTGCAAATCACTGAAAGTTATCTAAGTCTTTTTTTAGCTGTCTTCACTTCTGAAGTCTTGCTTCTGAATTTGTCATGATTCTTCTCAAGGCGGGTGGGGGTGCTGGGGACCCTGTGCTTCCAGTGCAGCTCTAGACAAGCTTCCACAGCTTCTGCAGATCCCATGAGGAGGCTGAGTGCAGGCCTACACTGCTGCAGTTAATGAGCTTTGGCTCCCATAGGAGCCCGCTGGCCAACCTGAGGACCACAGCAGGCCCAGTTCACCTAAGCAATTAGACCCTGATTAGGTGATTATCTTCTTTACAGATGGGAAGGAAAGCATGAAAATGAAGTGGGCAGATGTAAAGAGACCGGCAAAATTCACGTGAAGGTGGATCTCAAATACTACCGACCGACTGAAGTGGTAAGAACCCTGACTGGCCCTGGTGCGGGCCACCCTCTCCCAGGATGCCTGCCGCCAACCGTCAGTGCTGTCTGCGTGCCTCTTCGGCACCCTTCAGAGGGCATTTCCCTAGCCTGAACCCCATGAGTTAAATCTGCGGTACTGTGGTCTCCCCAAAGTTCATTGCTCTATAAGGAAAGCTGAGAAACACACCCAAGGAAACAGTTGATTACAGAAACGGAAGCTCAGTATTGGCCAGTCTCATAGCATTAGTATGTTCTAGGCTGACCTCTGAGACTCACAGGACCTCTGATTTGTGAAGCCCACCTAGACCTGCAGGGTTCCTGGGGTCTGGAAAGCCACAGACCTCTCCAGCTTTTCCTGTGCACGCTCATGGATGCATACCTGTGTGAATATATACACCTGTCTAACTCATAAATGATCTCCTTCAGGGCTGGGGATGGTAGCACACATCTGTAATCCCAGCGCTCAGAAGGCTGAGGCAGGAGGATCACTGTGAGTTTACGAGCAGCCTAGGCTACAAAAAGTGAGACCTTGTATAAAAAAAAGAAAAGCAAACCTGATCTGTCTGAGCTCAGGGACCACCCTACCAATGAAGGTCTCTCTGGGCAATCTATTGGCACCACTGAAATAGCTTCCATTTCCAAATGGCCAAATGGCATGCCACACGACTCCATTACAGTACCTGGCATAATCACTCATTTACAGATCTTCTTCCTTTAGAAACTTAGAAAAATAAGACTGTTACAAGGCAGATGCTTAATAAATACTGATTGGTAGGTTGTTAGATAAAATTTGAAATACAGACATTCTTGTAGTAAGAAATGTCCTGTAGATTGTTTGTGTCAATAGTATACATCATTGCATTCATTGTGTCTTTGCCCCTGTGTATAAAAATGTGTCATATGGTGTTGTTGGTCCATTCTTGCTATGGTGACAAAACTCAAGATATTCAGTTTAGTATGAGTGTACAAAGGTAATGGCAGTGTCTTTAGAAAGGAACATCAGAGTGTGGTGGTTGCCTCCTAAAGTGCACATTAACTGTGAAAATAGTTCGAACCAGATTCCTGTGTGTTATCCAGCCTTTCAGAGGTTAGAAAGTCCAGTGAGGAGAGGCCCATGGGTATATTGTGAGTATATTGTCATTAGCCTCCCGATGAAAAAGCTGTGCCACCGACTCTGCGCACAGAAAAAATTCAAAAGCAAAGGAAGTCACGGAGCAGGGAGAGGGCGGTGCAGGCGGCGCTGTCTGGGCGCAGGGTGCGGCTGGCTTTGACACAGCCAGCAATTGTTCCTATGGCTGAGGGCAGTGGGTGTGCCCAGGAGAGGATGTGCCTGTCCCTGGGGGAGGCAGATACCAGCCCACTGCTGCTGACACAGCAAGGGCAGTGCAGAGCACCCCAGGCATAGCACCCTGCAGACTCCCCCAGGTTCCACGGTGGTTCTGGAACACAGCACGACCGCATAGATGGGCACACACAGCTCTCCTCGCAAAGCAGTGATCACGATCACGCTAGGGTAGGAATGTTGCAAAGTCAACCAAACACCAAGTTCTGACAACAGCGTAAGTGTGGCTTTCTCTCCTCAACACCAAAATAATTTGAAAAGCTAGGAAATCATTAAGAATGGCTTGTCTGTCATTCTTACTTAGGCAAGGTGTGGAATTGATAAGGACACAGAACAAAGGAATTTGTTGAACAGGAAAAGGACCCTCAGACTGACAAGACCGCTCTTGAATCCCAGCCGACCCCCTTTCCTCCATCCCTTCCCATGTCTTTTGTTCATTCAGATGCTATCGTCATACCTGTTCTGCCACTCTGTTGACACCAGCATTGTTTGGACATAGAGTGGTGTCTGGTTTCATAGGCCGGCTTCCTTTTTCCACCACCTAGTGCTCCCCAAGACCCCTTCCTACCTGTCTCTGGCTCTGGAGCTGCATCTTGTCCCCCTTGTCTGGGCCTCAGCGCTGTGTTGTTTTTGGCCGCTCCACTTGTCTCAGTATCCCACTGGCTCTCCTTCGCCAGGTGGTGAGGCTGACTCTTCACCTCACCCCTCAGGCTGCAAGGCCTCCTTCAGCTTGGATGGGTTGCAAGCCTGCAGAGCTGCCTGCGAGGTAAACGCGCTCTTCCAGTGGAAAGGCAACCAGAATGATGGCTGTGCTCTAAATGGGCTTTTGCCCTGAAGCCTCTCTGAATTCTTCCTGTGGCTCCTGAAATGTCTGGCACATCTCTGAGGTTCCAGCCCACACAGCAGGGCAGAGCTGGGGCACCCCACCCCTCCCCCAGGGCCTTGCGCACTGACATCTCTGTCCCTGTTGCACCTGCTGAAGCCTCTCTCCCCTCCCCAGGATTCTGGGAGTCTGCTCTCCCAACCAGCTTTGGCCCTCTGTCCCCCAGCATCTTCTGCAGTTGGGGCCCTTGTGGCCCAGAGCATGAAGTAGGGCTGAGAGTGGCTCAGTGATAGAGTACTTGTGTTTGCTCAAGATTCTGGTTCTATCCCCACCTCCCCCCCCCAAAAGGTGTAGACTAGATCTTATAGTCAGATGGTTCCAGAAGACTGATTTTTAAAAAAATGAAAAAAAAGAATATTTGGAAAAAATATTTGGCATGTTGGGTCTCAGAACACTGATACTCTAAAGCAACAGGAAGTAGAGTCTTGTATTGTTTTTTCATAAGCTTCAGCCTGGTCTTAACCAACACCCTTCCGTCTTCAAAGGCAGGTACTAATCCAAAGGAGGCCCCCCATGACTCCGAGCAGAGCTTTGTTTGCTGTGTACTGATAATTATTTTCCTTGTTGATGTAACCACCACAAAACCTTAAATCCACCTTCTGTACAGCATGAAAAGTTTTCATTCTGGTCTCCAGTGTGCAACAGCTGGATGCAGTCACATTTTTTGATGCTCTACCTATGAGCCTCTGGGCTTTCTTTAGCTGTTGAGGAGTTTTTGCTAATACAAAAAGCCTGATCTTGGACATGACACTTCAGACTTCCCATTGCCCCGAACTGCAAGATTCGCTGATGCCAGTATTAATACTTGAGTTCTAAGCTGCTCCACACTCCTGCCCTGGGCCGAGAGTGCAGCTGAGTGGTGGAGAGATTGCCTAGTGTGTATGAAGCCTGAGATTGCATTCCCAGCGCTGGGGAAGAAAACAAACCCATGGGTGCCCCGCGTGCAGCTTTCTGTGTATTTGGATGTTGCCACGCTGTTTTATTGCACTGTGTGTTCACTTCTGGAGAGGAAATAGTATTGTGTTTAAATGTGAACCCTAGGGCCAGACTGCCTGAATTCAAAACCTGTTAGTGACTGTGTGACCTTAGGCAAATTGCTTAACTTCTTGGTGCCTTTATTTTCCTCATTTTAAAAAATAGGATGAATAATAGAGCTTTTGTCAAAGAATTGTTGGAAGATGAGTGGAGTCAGTTACCCAGTGTCTGGCCCACAGTGACTACCCAGTGCTGGACCTGCTGTTCCTTAGGTTCCTCATTCATTAAATATCTGCCAAGCAGTAGATCCCGGGACCGAAGTGAAGAGCAAGGAAGACTCGGTCCTCGCCCTCCTGGGAATCCTAGCTGTGGAGGTGATGCTGCTCCTGGAATTGGAAGCCTTTGGAAAAGCAGAATGGTGAATGATATGGACAGAGCAGGGAGAGTAGATAATAAAGGGGGATCAGGCTTCTCACAGCATCAGTGCGCACCTAACTTGGCTGTGCTTATTCTGTTTCCACGGTCATCTTCTGGAGCCTCAGGCTGTAGGGTCAGTGCCTGTTCAGTGGTTCAGAAATACCACGTAAGGATGAAGAAATGGGTTTATGAACGTGTGCCTATTATTTAATTTAAATAACCACAAAATGTCTTCTTTTTCTTTGAGAAATTTTAACTTGGAAAATTCACGAAGAAGGAGTTCGTACAGTATTCACCCTCATATATCCAAATGTTTAACCACGTCACGTGAGCGCTATAAAAGCAAGAAAATGACTTTTCTTTTTAAGTGAAACAAACACTCCTTTTTTTCTTTTTTTTTATTCTGTAGAAGATTTTAGGAAATGGGGTAAGACACACCTTCACAAACCAACGTCAAGAACTTTTCATGAAAAATAACTTAGCCAGCCTGGGGATTTAGCTCAGCGGCATAAGCACCTGCCTTATAAGCAGGCGGTCGTGAGTTCGATCCCTGGTACCGATAAAAAGGAAAAAGACAAAAAAAAAAAAAAAGAAAAAGAACTTAGCCTAAATTCTTAGCTGATACTAAATAATACTAAATATCTGTATCATTTTTCTTTAACATTAATTTTTCTTCCTGTCATATTTCTGATGTCCTGAATGTGATTTATTTTTATTTACTTATTTTATATTTATTCCTACTTATTATAGCTATTATATAAAATCGTGGATTAAAATATAGAATTATGAAGGCAATGATTTCAAAAAAATACAACAAGCTAATTAACACACCTTCCTCTAGTTAAAAACTCACAGCCTATTTTTAATCAGATTACCATACGCTTGTCTCCTCCTGCTCCCCACAAACCTTTCCTAATATTTTCTGTAAGCGATGTTAAGTTAAATGGCCTATAATTGCTCGCTCCATCGCCTAGCCCTGCTTAAAATAACGATATGTAACACTGTGCTTAGGAATCCGATCTGTCATCAGAGGACTTGTGTAAATACTACCTAGGGCTTCTCTCCGCTGCGTCTGTGTTTTGGGGTGAAAAGCCCTGAATGTGTTCACTATACTAGTCTTTTGTCCTGAAACTGTCCCCCTCTTCTGCCATAGCTGTCCTCACTACCTTCTGCACTTGCCTGCCAAAGCAGGAAATGCAGGGCATCTGCCTCTGTCCCTGCATCTGCTACAAACCCATCTTCCTGGGCCCTGATCCTTCTGACCTCCAAGGCTCTGTCCTCCCCTCCATGCCTCTCTTTGTTCTGGCTAGCACTGGTGGGAGCTGGGGTCAGGGGCCACAGAGAGCAGATTAGGGTCTGGGCCTCTCTTCCGGTACTC